AAAGATAAGTGAGTTTCATTAAGATGGACTTAAAAAAGTGTGAGCCTATCCTTTAGTAAGTTACCAAAAATAAGCTGTGCTGAAAGAGTACTAATGATGCATAATACTTACCACAGGAAAAGACCCTTAAGGATGTGAGACTCACAGTCACAAACATGGACAACTCATTAGTGTGAGTATCTTGGCCTCAGACATCTGTATTGGTTTTAAAGGTTTCATACATAATTTCCTTTTTATTAAGCTGGTGTAACTGTTTTCTGGTGATGTTAATGCATGATCCTGGCAGTCAGCTGCAGTGGGCATTAAAGAGTCGTGAGAGGGAGATAACCAGTCTGCGGAGACAGCTGGATGCTGCTCAGGATGAGCTAACTGGACTCAGGAGAGACAAAGAAATCACAGTCAGAGAGAACAGGAGGCTGCAAGATGACCTGGCCACAATGACCAGAGAGAACCAAGTACGTACCACACAGCCCTAGTCTGGAACTGTTTCATCTGCCTTACATGAAAAAAGCAAAATAAATAACTCAGACTTCTCTTTTATCTGGCTGTTCAGGCTGTACACATGGAGATGGAAGAGGCTTTGCATGAGAAGGATGAACTGAAGATGAGGGTTCACTCTTATATTTCTGAAGTGTCCAGAATAGAGAAACTGATGGCTGCAAAGGCAAGAGACAAGTGTACACTCACATAGTGTTTAAGGCTCTATATGTCTTTGGGAAATGCTTGCCTTAGTGATATCAATAGCTGCTTATCCTATAGACCCTCCCCCGTCTGCCATCTGACCTCAGGGTTTTAATCCACAGGAGCAGGAGAACAGGGACCTGCTGGAACGGTTCAGGGTGGCTCACTTGGAAATGGAGGAACGGGAGCAGAAGCTGCAGCAGGCTGAAGGCCATACTAACTCAGTCCGCCTGGAGCTGCTCTCCTCTGACACAGAACGCAGACACCTCCGTGATACTGTCGGCCATCAGGAGAGAGAAATCCAGCAGGTGAGATATTGACATTATGGAGAACTATTCCAACAGTTGCTCCAGGTCAGCTAATGAGATTATATTGGATAAAAACACTCAGCGCGGTCAGTCTTTATACTGGTGTGAGATAAATGTACCTTTCATGCTGTTTTCCAAGCACTTGCAGGCCCTACAGGCTTATGAGGCCCAAGTATCATCACTGGTTCGTGGGACGTCCCGACTAGAAGAGGAGCTACACAAAGCGCAAGAGGAGAGGGCCGCCCTACTGTCTGATTTGGCTTCTGTTCGGGAGCTGTGTGTCAAACTGGACTCTGGCAAGGAGCTCACTGCTCGTCAGCTCACCTCCACAAACATGGACCTGGAGAGGGTGAGTCCTGCTATCATGATTTTTGTTGACTTGTATGAGACATGTTGTGTTCCTCTATGCATGTGCACTGCTTCACCAACAGCAGTTACAGTGTCTGTTGTGGAAAATATGTAGTGGAAAAGTTCAATTCACACATATGCTCACTGCTCAGTATGCCAATGTTCTTATTATCTTTGTATTTGTACTGTCCTGTACCTTGTTTCCTTTTCCTCTGGACAGTTCTTCCAAAACAGTTCTGTCTCCCAGACACGCCACACAGATTTAGTCTCTACACACACACACACACACACACACACACACACACACATACTTCATACACACACAGACTCGGTCTCTTGACGCACATAGCCTGGTTTCCACAAACAAACAGTCTGCCCAGCTGCCTATCTAGGAGATACCTATGAAGGCCACATACCTAAGACACATTTCTGATTGGCTCCAGCTACTGGGTGATAGTTGACTGATGTTATTTGGCCGTAACCTCTCTCTCTTGTCACTCACTGACTCTTTGCACTGAGTGTGTGACTTCCTGGTCAAGACCACTGGTATTGTCTTATGCTATTGTCTGATTTGTCTGATTTTGTTTAATAAGTTACAGAAAGACTACCTGAGAGCTCCCTTACTGATTTCCACAACAGGATATTTATGCTCTTTGTAAATCTCTGTGCTGTATCTTCAGGTCACAGGAGAACTGGAGGATGTTCGGTCAGAGGCAGAGATACTTAAAAAGCAACTGGCCAGTGAGAGGCTGACGGTCCGTAACCTTGAGACGTTACTCTCTGCCAATCGGCACAAGGAGTTCCAAACTCAAATGACAGCCAGCGAAAGAGAGTCTGAGTTGAAAGTTCTGCGAGACAGGCTCATACTGGCTGACAGCAAAAAGTAACCACATCTAATTAAATAAATGACCTTGGGCTGAATATCTGAATAAACTGTCATTTTAAAAAGTGTTTAATATTATTTGTGTGTGCACAAACAGTGCGGAGCACGCCAGGGAGGTGTCCCAGCTCCGTGGCAAAGTGTCTCAGCTGCAGACAGAGATGGACGTTCTGAAAAGACAGTTGACCACAGAACGCTTTGAACGGTGAGCTCAACAACTTCTGCTCTTTACACTGATGCTGACTTTTCAAGTGTTACCCCGGTACAGGATTAATTTAAGGAAGTGCAACTGAAGTTTGACGCAAATTACATTTAGTCTGTCAGTACGGATGCAAAAAGTATTTATCAGCTTTGTGATGTGTAATTGATCCTGTAGCCTCATAATTCAGTGGTGTAAAGTAACTAATACATTTACTAAAGTATTCAAGTACAATTTTAATGGATCTGTACTTGAGTATATTCATTTTCTGCTACATCATACTGTACTTCAACTTCACTAGGAGGCAAATGTTGTACTTTTTACTCCACTACATTTATTTATAAATTTAGTTGCTAGTTACTTTTCATAACCAGATTAAAAAATTAAATTAGATACAAACCGTACCCTTTGACCCTGTCTCTTTGTCACTGTCTACATACAGTGAAAGGGCAATTCAGGAGATGCGCAGACAGGGTTTGTCATTCTCATCTCTGCAGAGCTCATCACCCCTCAGCGTCTCCACCAGTCCTCATCACGTCTCCTCAGAACGTTCCATCCCACAGAGTCTTGACCGCGCCACTGAAAAGTCAGCAGACAAGTAAGACTTTTGGATATGAATAAAGCAGTTTTTTAGATTATACTTATTTTATCCAGGGATTCAGCTGTTTCCTTTGAACATTAAACAGGAATCACAGCTTTGGAATAAAAACCAAAGAATTATTTTAAAATGTCTTTTTTTCCTATCTCTCTTTTTGCAGAAGTGTGAGCTTCAAGGATTAGCCACCATAAAGACAAATGAAGGAGCTGATGAGTGAGTCAGAAACAACAAGAAGTCTGGGCATGAATTGTGAAGGCCTCCATAAGCCTTGGCATTAATTAGCCTGTAGTATATGTCAGTGTTGTCCAGCCAGAGGCGCCCAGAATGAAATCATGTCGGGCTCTTTACTAAAACTAATGCCAGTGCCATTTGTTTTTTTTTTTGTCCAAGTAAAGTGGACTTTACTTGGACAACTGAATGCAAAGTGTCTACTCTGCCATTATGTTGCACATATTGACAAAATTTGGATTTGGCTTGGAGAATAAGTTGGTGCTTGTAAAAGGACTATAGTTCTCAGCAACTATAACCTCACACATGTAGCAAGACAAGACCGTGTTCATTCATACCTGTAGTTCTGTGTGTTATCCCTAATGTTTTGTTTTTTAATGGTGTCTAAATTATTCACAAAATAAACTGATTATAAAGTTACAGAAACTGCAGTACGGTGCATCACAAAACTTTGAACTTCTGTTTTATTTAAGTAAATAGTCAAAAGTTATAGAAAAGAAGGGAAACAGGTGAGAAAGAGAAGCTGTGACATACTAAAAACACTCCTAAGCTTGATTTAAAACCCCACATCCTTCTGTGTACATAGTTTGTTTTAGCCTGCTAAACCACTGAAAGCCTACAGAAGCCATTAACCCTTTACCTTCTCCGCTGTCTAAATGAAGAAACAAGTAAAATACAAAGTTTGGTCTTGCAACCTTATTTGCATTTCCATGAATGTATACTGAATTGGTTCATTAACTGTAACAGTGCATGTAACATATTTTAATAACTCTTTGTCTACAGCCAATTTCAAGCTTTAGTGGTTTAGAAGTCAAGTCTCTGTCTCTTCCAGTAATCAGCATTATGCAACATCTCAAGTAAAAATGCGTAACAGCTGTCGAAATATTGTTTGTTCTCTGGGCATAAAAACAATACAAATGATTCTGTAGAAAATATCACACGCCTAGTGCCGGCAGTGTGCAGTGGTTGTGTTTGGGAGGGGGTAAGCGAAGAGGGAGAAGTCTAAAATGTACTTTGGCAGGAGTTCCCTCAGTATTCTCTGAGGTAAACTACACAGGTAATAGTGCAGTGTCTCTGTGGTGACAGGCTTGTACCATGTTTGCCTCTCTGGGAAGTGAACATGAGCAGGTGCTCCAATGCGCTGGAGCACAAACTCCGCATCACTTTCCAGCTGCTCGTATGATCCAATGAAGTCATAAGACACGGCGCAAGGTTGACACAAGTTGTACACTGGCATCCAGTGCTCATTCATGCGCTCCACATCCTCATCCAGCAAGTAACGAACAAACTCTGCAAAGGTCACATCATCTCCGGTTACAGATGCGTCCTTAGTGGCGCCCTTTCTGTAACGTCTTATGATCTCCACACCATACTTTTTCTGATAGGACTCTATCTCTCCAAACTTGTTTCTGTATGCAGAAAGCAGGCGCTCCATGGGCTCCCGCACAAACATGAACTTGAAGTAGTGCTTGAGGCGGTAGCGAATCTCCTCAAGCTTCAGAGAGGACAAAAACAGCAGGTCGCTGCGGTGGTCCATCTTGATATTGGCATCCACACTCTCCAACGCTCCGCTCAGGACCTTCACGACCCTCTTCCAGTTGGAGCATGCCACTTTGGGGACATAGCAGTACAGGAAGCGGTACTTATCATTCACCAGGATGTGCTGCAGCAGCGTCTTCCTCTGGAGGGGACCCAAGGACCAAATGCTGTGGGGCATGTTCTTTTGGCTGCATATGGTCCTGATGGTCCGGTTACGGATCTCCTGGAGGATCTAAATGTGAACACAAATCAGTGCATTAAAAGTCAGTTTAGTAGTCTTTGAAAACATCTGAATCGCTGATGTGGCTCTGAAAGAAAGATCACTTTGGGTTTCAGGTGTGGAGTTTGAAAGATGTGGGTATTTACTAGGCAGGGAGGGTGAAATGAAAAGACATCCAAAGATGAAGAGTTGAAAAATTAACACTGGGTACTTCACAGTGTATATAAAATCGGTTTATGTCAGCCTCTCCTGCTTCGCAAGGTAAACCCACACATCTGCCATTTGGTTCAAGTTTTGGCTCTGCAGAAATGACTGACCTTATTAAGTTGAGCAAATGCATGTTTGTATTTTTAGTAAAAGCTAATGGCAACTCGTTCTGGACTTTTTAAAAGTTGTGTTGATGACCATCAAATGAAAGTCATCACGCACTTGGCATTTGAGCCTTTAATCCTGTTGGTTATTATAGATCTGTTACCAGTCTTTAGAAATATAACCAAATCTCCGCTGTCTGCACTACTCACCTGGTAGCCCCACATATTAAACTTCATGGTGCACTGCATTACTGTACCTGGGACTCCACGTCCACAGTAGCTGAGGTGTGTTTGCCGCCCTGCCTGATTAAGTCCAGCCGCTTGCCGTAGCCCCGGGGTGGAGGTGTCTTCATGTTGTTGAGCATTCCTTTCTCTATCATGAGCAGCAGGCCTCCGGATGCTACGATCACCAGGAACGTTAGCACCGAGGGGAGCACAGCGGCGCTGCGGCGGACAGAGCCCGAGTTCACCGTTGTCCTAAAGTTTGTAACCGGGCTGCTCCGCGCTCCCCCGGTCCTTTTCACCCCGTAGTCCTGCTTGCGAGGAACCATGCTTTGCGTCCGGTTTGTCTGTTGAATGCCTGTCCGCTTTTTTAAGTTTTAAGTTGAATGCTAATCACTAAGGGTCGAACCGTTGGTTTCTTACCACGTACCCATACTTAAACTTTAAAGTACCTGAAGTCTGTCGCCGGAAATGCAACAATTCCTGTATGAAATGTTAAACTAAAACCCTGACGGCGAGCATGATGCAAACCGCTGGTACTAGATAAGGGTCCACAAAACGGCATTAACTAGTGGGATATCTTAAAAATTCTTGTTCTGCAGCAATTTTCTCTCGGGGTATTATACACCGAGGAAACTAACATCAAGCCGGCTAGAATATAAAACGAAGACATCCGGGGAAAGTTTTCAAAATAAAATCTCCCCCGAGCTCACCCCTTCTCTAAACAGTGCATAGGCGCATATGAGAACTAATATGTAGAACACATATAACCTAAATACCGACGTTTCGTCAGTTTATTTTAGTTATATTTACAACCAGAAAGGCTTTCTTCTAACAGGACTGTCGGAAGGAAGTGCTGTCAACTTTCCTCCTGAAGTTCCCCCAGACCAGCTGGGATATGTAGTTTCCCCCAGTGTATCTTGGGTTTATCTATAGCATAGGGGACCCCTCAACGGTTCCTGGATGTATTCGATGTTTTAAAAAAATGTGACTTTGCTTTGTGTCATTGAACAGCTTTATGATCTTTCAGTTTCCAGTACTGTTTTGAAATAGGACTGAAGGGCAGTGTCTCAATAGTCAGATACATTTTTTCAGTACAGTTGTCCCCACATCATTTTAAATAGCTTGAAATATGAGCCGTCAGATTTTTTTTTTCTTAAAGCACTGGTCACACCCTTCCTTGCCTAATGGTCACAAAGTTCCTGTTTACTTGTTTTGGTGCCAGTTCTCTGCTACAAATAAATTATATCATGAAGCAGAAGCATGATCTTTGGTAACTCAATCTAAAAGTAATATTGACATGTTTTATTGTATTTTATATTTGGACTCTCATCCAAATTATGTGTATGAACTTCTTGGCTAACTAAGGGTGAACTGAAGCAGATGTCACCAGTGTGTAGAAAAGCCCTGCTTTAGTCTGTAGGAGTTCAGATTGATGCAGTTTACCTACATGGATGTATATGGGATTAATTTGTCATTTTACACCTTAAATGTATATAGTGAGCCCTGTGATGGATTGGCGACCTGTCCAGGGTGTACCCCGCCTTCGCCCGATTGCCGGCCGGGATTGGCTCCACCAAGTTTAGGATGATACCTGAACCTTTCTGTTTGGGTCAGTTACTCACTCCCCCTCTTTTGCTGGTAGTGAACCAGAGCCCAAGCTCTTAACCACATCATATGGGGCAATCAAAAGGTGTGATGTCTGAGATAACTGTCTGATGAGGTCTAAAAGGTGGCATCATCAGCAAAGAAACCAAGTTGCTGAGACTGAACTAAATCAGCTTAGTGATGTCCTGTCATGATTAACATCATCAAAATGTAAGGCCTACACAATTTGTGATGAGCAAAAACCATATTTAAAATGAATGCAAATTTAAATCAGTGTACGGTGCCATGACCAAGGTTGCAGCCACTCTTTACTCTAAAATAATGAGCTGCTAGGAAAAAACGGTCTTGCATGAACCAATAAGTTCCAATTTTATAGCTTCACATGTATGAGATCAGAGATTAGTGTTTTGCTTTATAGTTACAAACTTGTCACCTTTTGTTGAAATTCACAATTTGAATGACAGATATGGCTCATGTGGAACTGAATATGATTCTTTGTAAATATATGTTTAACATAAAATATCCTTCATAATTTCACAGAATCCAAGGTGATGTCTTCAAATTACTGAAGATATTTGCTGATATTAGTGTTTCATTGATGCACACAGAATATCTCACAATGAAGAACAAATTTGGAATGAGGAAATGTTTAGTCGCTTTCTCAAAAAATGTTTAGTCGCTTTCTCATAAAAACCAAACTCTCTCCTCTTTCTCTGATCCCTTTTCCCTCTAATAATTTTCCTACACTCCATAACGCTTCAATGAAGACCACCATAGTCATCTCTAGGCAATTTTAAGACCGAACTGAAATAGATTTTTCTTTTCTAGTTCTAGTTATGAATGTGACTTTCAAGTAATGTTTCCATTGAGGACTCTTTGCATTATAGGTGTGTATGGACCAAAAGGTCACCTATTGATTCAGCTAAGGTAGCTGGAAACCAAAGTAATGTTTATAAGTAGGCCTACAGTTGTATGACTAGTTCAGCTACAGTAACATTACACATACATCATACGTCCCAGTGGATTTAACACCTCCAGGAGTGCACAAGGTGCGTGTTGTTTCCCTTTCGGGGCGGTTCTTCCATCCAGCTCCTTGTTTCATTAATTACTTCCGATAAGCACGAGCATAGGGTACAGTAACATGCTCGCATCGTGACAGGAGCTTGCATGCTTGTCGCCTTTCTCTCGAAGCCGCACCCACCCATCTCCACCTCGTACGCGTGCAGCTGTGCGGGGCCTTCGGTCGGTGCGTGCGTCTCGCTGTCGGGCACCCGCAGTATCAGCAACACAAAAGGGTCGGAGCAGCCGGAGCCGGGCTCCCCTCAGCACCGATCGGGAGGAGGAATCACGTTTATAACAGGTGCTGGGATGTTTTTCTCTTTTCCTCAGTGTTGTTTGTGTGTTTGTGCTGATTGTCTTGGACGTGTAGACAGCCCCGATGCCCTTGTCACTGTATCCCACCTCTCATTTCTCATTGACCTGCTCAGATCTTCTGCCCCATCCTTCGCACGTGTATGTGCGCGCTGTAAATGGGATGGGACTGGCAATCTGATCTGACTTGAAATGCGCCAACACCGAAGTCAGCAGCTGTATTAAATCGTTAGATTGAAAAAATCCGAAATGATGCTAATCAATTTTAGACCATTTGTGACAAAATGCGAAAAAAAGCAAAGGCCAGATTCTTTGTTCCCCGGATGCCGTTTAGTCTGCAATTAATAGACTAATCCCTGTGCGGGAGTATCTGCTAATCTGCTATTAATGGTTACATATTGATCGGAGCTTTAGGTGTAGGCGGATGCAGTCTTTCACTACACCCATCCGTGGCTTTCTTCAAACGATAAACACAATGCAGCCGTTTGCAGTGTCAAGATATCTGAGTCAGCTGGAAAACCATGCACAGGCCATATGGTGCGGGCCTACATGTGTGAAAAAATAAAATACACCCCCACCCCCCACTTTAAACGCTTATAAACTCGACGCTGCATTACTGATATTGCTAGATTGTCAGTAGACTTTGGAGTTGAGACTCAGAGGCAGGGACAATAAAGGGCAGATTGCCAGAGATGAATTCACAGGCTGCTGGTCTTTCATTTATGGTGCTAGTTCATTGGTCTGTTTCTTTGGTTGCCTGCTTCATCACCCGAATGACAGTAAGCTATATATTATTATCTGGAAGCCATAAAGCAGTATATTGACTAAAGGGTGAATCAGTGCTGTGCTGTGTGCCAACCATGTCTGTGGTTTGCACAAGAAATAATGAAGAGCAGTGATTCAAACATAATGTTTTGTTAAATAAAGTAAGACAGTGTTTAGTTTCATATCCAACCTGATGGTCTGGATTCTCAGATGCTGATCCACAGTAAACAGGGATTTGACAAACTTATCATTGCCAAACAAAACTGACTACAGAGACATCTGTCCAGTGCCTTTGTGTTTCCAGACATCCTCCATTTAATTTGAGTCATGTATCACCCTTTGACCTCAGATTAAGCTGCCACTATGGGTTTCAGTTTAATCACTGTAAGGCAGACAAAGACTGCACAAGTCATTGGTTTCTGTGCATTTAAATGCCAGTAGATTGAACTGGATGTTAGATAAACACAACTTGTTAAAAATAAAACACCTACACTGAAAATTAACTGTAAAGTATTAACCTGTCACTGAAAGTGTACATGTCACTGCAGTTAGTGGTATAGATAATGGATGGATGGTTGACAAAAATTCACATTTGGTCATAAAATTAGTTTTAAATTTGCTTTTTTTAACCCCCCACCACCAACCCCATAGATGATCCATATCAATTGCTAGCTAATATAGCATCAATACACACTTGCATACATGTAGAATGTTACATTATTCAAGCATTTATTTGTGTTTTCAGTGCTGAATGACTGATCTACCACATGTCAAGTACAGCTGCTGCTTTTGTATCACTGAGAATAGCGGTTGTTGGTCGTTAATCTCGCTCTCCTCTACATAAAGTGGAGTCATTAGGACTCTGATCGCCCTGTGTGTGGATACATATGCACGTGAAGATTTGTGTGAGAGCATGTGTGAACTGCTTTACTGGGGGTGCTATTTGTGCACAGAGCCCGTGAGAGAGCAGTCTGTCTTTGAAGTGCTATGCTTCTGTAATATAGACGGCATCCAGGTTGGTAAAGCCCCATCATTACCATATCCCTGAGAGACTGCAGTGTGATGCTACCAGAGCTGAGAGTGGGGGAGCTGGCCTTATTGCACACCAATGGCATGCTCATGTATTATGAGTCCTATTCAGACTGATATAAGCATAAAATGTGAATCTTTAGTCATTTATTGTTGAGGCTACAAGACTCGGGGGAACTAAGCTTCTGTTTTTCCCCTTAGAAATTAAGGTAAATGATATTTGCTGTAAAAAGTAATCATTGATTCTCTTGTGTGTGTTGCGCTCTGGTCAGAAATCAGCTGTAAGGTCCATGAGCTTCACAGAATAGCTTATAATGGATATGTGTGACCATAATGTTGTTAAGCAGTTGCGGTACATTGCGTTACCACCCAATATTCTCACGCGTGCAAACATGGTTACTGTTAACCCACAATGAAAGCCTTTGTGTGCATCAGCCGGCTGGAAAAGATGAATGCCACTCTGTTCTCCTGCGCTGGCTATCTGCGGAGAAACAAAGTGTGACTTTGTGCCTCCTCAGCACAGCAGCACTAACAGACACAGGAGAATGCCCATCTCTCCTCACTCAGCACTCACAGTACCCCGACACCTCCTCAGACTCCACATGTGCTCCACTCCAGCAAACATCTGCACACATGAACCCACACAGATATGAGGTCTCTTCCTAGAGTACATGACTGGACCTTAGAAGATTAGTCGAACTTTCATCAATATGAGAAATATCAGGGAACGTATACTCCGTCATTCTCCTGTACGCCCACATGCACACACATGCACTGCATCTGACACCTGACTCCAGGTAATGCCCTAGATTCACAGTGACAGCAGGCAGGTGGAACGGCCACACACTCGCACACAGACTGACTGACTACAGGACGGTAAGAAAGCAAGTTGATGAAATTTTAGGTTTAGGTCTCGTAATTTGTTGCTTTTACTTTTAAACAAGTTTGCATCTATTCTTTTCAGGGTAGATACTCGCTCTCTGTGTGCAAGACCATAACAAGCAGCTCTTGTTGTACAGGGTGATTTAATGAAGTATATCAGTATTATTGTACTGACATTTTGGTATATGTCATCAGCAAATGTTGCAGTGTTTGTGTTTGAGATGTCAAGAAATGAAGGGTTTTATGTTGTTTGTACACTTGTGTTGTCAGTTAACCACTGGCTAGTGTGGAAAATATAATCATTGTCATGCGATACATGTGTCCCACTAAAAGCCATTGTTTCTTCACATGCCCCTTTTGGATATCTAGAGAATGGAGAAATACCAGGAACAGCTTACAGCTTAATGTCTCAAAACAAAAAATGAAACATTATATAATTCAAAAAGGTGGTGTTTATTGCAGGGCTGCTGGACTACAAGGCATTTCACATAGCATTGTTGTGATAGCTACAGAACGTCTAGTGTTTTAGCAGCTTTAATCAGGTTTGTAGCAACACTAGTAGCAAGGCTCTAGTGTTTGTCAGTTAGTCAGTCTGTCCACCACTTTGCTCCAGACTGAAATATCTCAACATTGGATCGATTGCCATGGAACATTCATGGTCCCTAGATGATGAATCCAACTGTCTTTGCTGATCCTCTGTCCTTTCTTATAGCCCTACCAGCATGTAAACATTTTACTCTCCAAGTGGTATTTTGTGTTTATTCCTAAAACCTAACGGTTTAAACTGAGATGTTGAAAAGAGTAAATATTATAAGTGTACAACATTAGAACTTTAGCATTGTCATTGCGAGCCTGTTGGTATGCTGGCATTAGCATTTAGCTCAAGGCTGGATTAGCTTTGCCCATTTGGGTGGTAGCTTACCTTTGTGCCCTGTACAAAGGTTAGAGGGGACGGCAGCTGCATGAAAATAAGGCAGAACATGACCATGGAGTATATTTGGTGTTTTGGTGAAAAAAACGAAACTGTTTAGGTATAAATCTGTTATAATATACAAAGCAGACAGTGACATCCTGGGGTGGACTGGATGCAGACAATTCACAGTGAAAAATATTAGTCGGATGCTCTCTTTGTATCCTCATCCAAAAATGATGGGTTACTAGGGGCAACAGGAGCAGGCATCAAGGCCTTCCTCCCAACATCCTGGGAAAGGAGCATTGCATGTCATCACAATGCACTGTAACACATTAGAACAGTTTGGTTAAATACGATGCTTTCACTAAAAAAAAGAATGTCTTGATTGTTGTGTTGACTCGGCCACTCTTAGGAATTCTCAGTTGATGCCATCATGTCATGACTTGCTCACAGTTTGGGCAGCAGTAGTGTGACTAACTGAGCAGAAAAACAACTCTTATATTTATTTTCCATATTTTTAATTATCTGATGCGCTTGCACACAGCCTGCACAGGGACCACAAATGGATACGCCCTCGTTGCCCTTGTGCACGTTCCACCGCGCTTAGTGCTGCTCAGTGCTGCTCAGTGCAGCTGTTACTAAAACAGCCACATCAGGAGAAGCGAGAGCAGTGTTTGTGCTTATACAGGAGTGTGCCAAGTGAATGTTTTCAGTCTGTTTGAAGTGATATGAATTTGTTGTTTGAATTTTGTCTGTCTCCTCTGCTGAAAACATGTTGCCATGGAAACCAGAGGCTGCTCAAACTACAGAGGGTGATAAAGAAAGACTGAGACAGAGTTGGTGTTGATGAGATGCTGTGCAAGTCTAGACTCTAAGAAGATGAAAGCCATAGTAAAGACATACTTTTTTGCAATATAGACTCAGGAAGTTTGTCATTGTCACCTCATACATCCTGGTGGTGTTTGCTCTTCTGTTTAGAAGTCTTTCCTCATCCTACTCTTCTCATGTCACCCTCCATGCCATGTTCATATTCCTCACCCTGAGTGTGCCTGATGCCAAAGGACCTAACAAATGTAAACATGATATACTGTCTCTGTTTTGTATTTATTTCACCGTTTTCTCCCAAAGCCACAGCGGAGGCAGCAGCGACGTTGATCTGAGTAAAACAAGCTTTGTGCCAAAGGGCAGATCGATGTTCCCTAAGATTTTACTGCAGTGGTGCGCAGCCATCTCAAGCTGTGCAGCTGAAATAGGTAAACTGTTCCACAGCTCCACCACGTTATGTCTGTCTGCTTTGTCAGCAAGCTACTTGTGGTATAAGGGTATGGCACTTAGCCACTCTGGTAGATGTCTGGCCTGCTCTGGCGCAGAGCAGGCCATGTCACCATGAAATGATGTTG